CCACACCCGCGCGAGAAAAGAAGGCAACTGGGAATTCTGTCACCACCCACATCACGACGTCGTCATGGCCATGTCGTGACGTCACCATGACGTCATTCATCGCACGGCCGTGACGTCAAGCCAGCAGGCGCTGCACGGCGGGGAATAGCAGGGGCGCCAGGTCTGGCCGCTCGCTCTTGCATGCGCAGATGACCCCCTGGGCGTTGCGGGTGAAGCGCAGCTCCAGGAGCAGCTGGGCGGGTACGCCATCCACCCGGCACGTCAGGTACACGGCCTCCTGGCTCGTCCCAGGCACCTGAAGGAGGTGAATGTGTGAATTAAATAATATATGAATTCTTGAATTAACGAATCAAATACCAGTAACTGATTAGTGTAATATTACGTTAATTCCTTAGATTGATGTATCTTTAGAGCAAATCCTTTATTGACGAATGCATGCTAATTCCTTAATTCCTTAATTCCTTAGTTTAATACATCCTCAAATTACCCTTAAATGAATAAATAAAGATCAATGTATTGAAGAATATAAAGATTAGTGTATCCTCAGTGTACCTTCAAATCAATCAACTAATTCATTTATTAATGTGTCCTTGGAATGCATTGCCAACGCGTCTCTACAGAACTCCACTCGTCAGACAGCTGCAGGTTTCTGGCTGTCCACACATGAAGGAGCAGCGAGTCGACTCGCTCTGAGCTGCAGCCTGCAGCGGCATCGCTGACCAAGAACGGGCAGCCCAATTGATGTGTTTTCGGCCTCACTAATTGTCATGTAATATAACTGACCTAAAATGCGCCTAAATGACACCGCATTGTCAAAAGTTATCAAAACACACGTACGACTGCGCATTTCTATTTGGACCCAGCCGCATTTCCCAAGTCTGCGCCCAGTCGGTGCGTTTTCGCCAGCATTTGGACATCCCGGCATTGAACCACTCCTTCCTTCGGCAGGAGTCGATGCATCTCTTGCGCTTGACGTACAGGTATACGTACGGTGCACCAAGCCTCAAGACCAACACACCAAATGGCGCGCGGCTGAGCAAAAGACGGCTGCAATAATGCGCTGCCCGGAAACGGCCCCAGCATTCACATTCACATTGACATGCCCATGCACATGCACCTGCATCCGCATCTGCACATTCACATGCATGTTCACATTCACACTCACATGAGAACCTTCACCTGCACAGTCACATGCAATGGATATTGACATGCACTCGCACATACACATGTACAGTCAACGCCACAGAGCGAGAACCCATCACCCCACAGCCCCGGGCCCCCCATCTGGCCCACCTGCCGGTGCGCCATGCAGAACACGTTGGCGGCCTTCAACCTCGCCAGGGTTGCATCCACATCCCCCACCGCCACCGGCAGCGTCTCTGAGCGCTCGTTGTCGCCGCTCAGAGCGCGCCAGCTGTCCAGGAACACGTTCTGCGCAATCTCGCCGCCCTCCACCAAAAGACCCTCCAGGGCGACGGCATCGTTAAGGTACAGCACGCCCAGCTGGTTGGTCTTGACGGCGATCTGGAGGGCATCTGTGACGGGGCCGGGCGCCACCTTGGCCGGCATCTGGACCAGGGGGACTGTGGCAGAGGCCACGGTGCCGGGCGCCACGGGCGGGACGTTCAGGACCTGCGCGACATCGCAGGCTGTGAGCTCTTTTGCCACTTTCCGTCAGGAACAGAATGCTGAAATTTGTGCTTCTCAAAATTGTGCTTTTATGGCTTCGTATCTATATTTGCATTTCATATGTATTTGAATATTCTATGAACTCCTTGCCTACAAAATGTAGCATTCTCTCTGTCAGGTACTTCGTCACTGTTTTCAAATTTCTCCCCTGTGACAAGTGCATACACTGGAGGCGGGACGTTCAGGACCTGGATGCCGCCCAAGACTGTGAGCTTTCCTGCCACCTTCCATCCGCAGTTTTAAGTATTCCGTCAATTTCTTGCCCGAGAATTGTACCAAATTTTTGAACAAATCTGCCATGAAACTCTGCCATTTCTTTCCATAATTTTCCCATCCACGGAGAATTCCCCGGAGTTGTTTTTTTGAGATTGTGGGGGTCGTGGGATGACCCATGGGCGGCCCTGGACGTGGACATGGTGGATTCCGATGAGTCATTTATTGCGGGTATAGCGGGGACGGCGACATGCACATCTTTGTCATGACACCATATTTAGGAAATCTTCTTCTCCCCACTCACGGAATGCATGAACTGGAGGCCTTTTCTGCTATTGTCACAGCATAATGTCATATAATCGTGCATAAATCAGTCACACATGCATATGATGACATGGCACTTAGTCAATAGTTTTCTGCTACTTTCTCCCGTTTTCTCCAGCCCTCTTCAGATCTATTCTCTGGCCATGTGCATCGGGCATCTCCTCGTGTTTTCTGCCGTCCTTCCCACGCCGCGCAAATGCACGATGCACATGGGCACAATCCCAAGGACACAATGATCGAACATCGATGGCGCATCACACAAGCAACAAATCGGCCAACGACACGGTTTCCAAACGCGTGCAAACCGTGTAGGACTCGTGCAAAAGTCGTGTAAACTCGCTCAATCGCTACTACAAGGTTTGGTCCCATAATCACACGATAAATACGCGATTTGGCGTGATTCTTACACGATTTTCAATCTTGTTACACGGCACCCGATTTTCAAAACGGTGTGTTTTGGCCTTTTTCACTGGTGTCACCTGGTGCGCAGGCTGCAGCCCGAACGAGTTGGTGTTCAGCTGGATCATAAGCCCATCCACGGGCACCCCCGCCGCGTTGCCGAACTGCATCAGGTACACCGTCTGGCCGCCCTGCCTGGCCAGCTGGCCCCCAATGGTCAGGCCCTGGCCCCTGTCGGGGGGAAGCACCACAGGCAGGGTGACGGACTGGGGCTGGGCCGCGGCGGGCGCGGGCGTGGGGGCGTCCAGGCCGCCGAAGGGGTCGACGGGCGCGGCCGCGGCGGCCGGCGCGGGGCCCATGTCCAGGCCGCTCAAGAGGTCCATGACGTCGTCCACTGCGGCCGCAACATCGCGAAATCGACAAATTACGTAGTCGCACGTTCGTAGAATCGCAAAATCGTAACATTGCAATATCGCAACACAACATTATCAAAATATCCCAAGACCACTTGTTCACGAAAGCACAAACGCGGGCAAATTCAAAGAGCACAACCGAACCATTGATCGGATGCTGCTGTACCCGTCGCTGCCTCCCAGGCGACTGCAATAGCTTTGTTTTATCTTGCGTTTCGCATTACAATTTCAAGCAACAGAATCCACACAAGCACAGCATTACAGAATCAGAGGAACGCAACACAACAAATCAAGGGAAGAAACGTCTGTGACTGTGATCCTTGCCATACACTGCGCATGGAAGCTGAGTAGCAGGGCATTGCCCTGCACTGGATTGTGGTTTTCCATGCTCAGAGCTGAGGTGGTGCTTTCACTTTCCCCATGTGGCAACACGGAGCCAAGAACCATGCCGTATCATCGGCTCGTTATCAAAGCACTATCAGCACCACTGACAACCACTCTACAATACCACTAACAGTAACGGCAAATACTCCACAACAATGTGCAACAGGACAAGGAGCGAGTCGCAAGGCTGTGCTGGAGCCACAAGTAAGAAATCGGTCAAAACACACGGTTTCGAACCACGTAAAAATAGTGGAAAAGCTTCAAGACGTGAAAAAATCATGTAGACTCATTCAACCGTTACTACACGGTTTGGTCCCATTTTCACACCACAAATACACGATAAGCACACGGTTTATCAGGAGTTTTGCACGATTTTCAATTGTACAACACGGGACATGGTTTCAAAACCGTGTACTTTGGCCTGTTCTTTACTAGCGACCTGCGACGCACCTGGCGATGCCACAGGTGCAGCCGCTGCGGGCGCTGGTGCCGCAGGCGCTGGCGCGGCTGGTGCCGGTGGCCCCATGTCCAGTAGATCTCCCAACAGGTCGACCTGAGGAGCTGCAGCTGGAACAGCAGCGGGCACAGCTGCGGCCCCCGCCGTGGCGGGCAACTGCCCAAACGAGGCACACCCAATCCTCAGGCCAGCACACAGGACCTCCAACAGGATCGAAACAGAGATACGGTGCAAGCAATGCATGTTTTCTTGTCTTGCCAAGATGGCGGCATGTGTGCTGGCTCCGCATGGGTGGACAGCAACGGTGCAGGCATGACAACGTGAGTAATGCATTGGGCAGCGCTCTGCCACTGCACTGATTTGCACACCCCACAAGTCAAGTGAGGCCGAAGAGTGGATGCAAACGGTTATGGGCCTGAGACCACAGCGGCAGCGCAAGTTCGTTCCGTGCACCATTAATCAAAATTCGCAGCACGGTCCCAGGCTCCTCAGGCCACGCCAGTGCATTCTTGCAAAGAGTGCGCAGCAAACAGAACATGGCTGGAAACAGAAACAGAAACGCAAGCAGATCAAGAAACAGAAACAAGCACAGCAACAGAAACAGAATGGAACAAAATGCGCAAGCAGAGACGCAGAGTGACAGAAATCAGAAACAGAGACAGAAACGCTAAAACAGGCTGAGCTGAGCCTGAACAGAGACACTAACACTAGCAAATAAAGGACCAAATAACACTTTTTGCGAACACACATGAAATGCATTTCATCAATGTTCTGCATGCTATGAACACAAGAATAACCCAAATCAGTAGACTTTGTACGCAATTGAACGCGTGTTATTTGGCCTTTTTCTTCCTAGTGCAACAGAGAGGGCGACAGCCACGGACAGCATGCCTGTGGCCCAGGGCTCACCTCCCTCGTGCGCCCCTGCCCCTCCGGCGCAGCTGCCAGCTCGTCCTCAAAGTGGGTGGCCTCCAGTTCGTCCGCTTTCTGCACCGCCAGCCGCGTCCTGCTCACGAACGTGCCCGCAGGTTTGTGGTACACAGACGCGAGGGTGGATATCTGCGACAGCAGCTCCTCCAGCAGCAGCGGCTCCAGGCTGCCGGTGTCGTTGGAGATGACCGGCTTCTCTGCCAGAACGACGTCCTTTGCGGCCTGCGTGAACCGCCAGGCATCCGATTTGGGAAATTGCGTTTGAGGGTGGCAATTAGCTGATGTTCGTTGATGTGTGTTGTGTGCATCATAACGTACAGAATCACACCATGAAATATGCAACCCTTCCATATCAGAAAAATTTACCATGACCCATTTTCCTTGGTGGCATGCTTTTACAGAGCATTTATTCATTCTTCTGTGTTGTTCCAGAAAATTTATTGCCTTTCTCCTTGAAAGGAAGCCCAAAGCAATACGTTACTATGCAAAAGGTTGGGTTAGGGTTTTCATATTTTTCAGTATGTGACAACATGGTGTGGAATTATGCAAATTACCAAATGTCAGCCAGGGGGCCAAGCATTGGTAGCACAGGGTAGAATGTGGTGCCCGATGTTGGTCTGCACAGTGTCCGATTGACAACAACGAAATGCCACAAAATAGCAGCAACACACTTTGGCAGTGCAGATTCACCAAAACCACAAGATGATGCCACGACCAGGATGTTAGCATCAGGGGCATTGCCCGTCTCAACAGGTATGTCGTGCATTCAACTGGCTGCTCTATTCACATATTTGGAATGTGTTCAGCAATAGATAGGCGCCAGTATCTGGACGCGGATGACAGCTGGATGCATGGCCACACAACATCGAAAGGCTACACAGCAATGTTTGCGGCAAATGATCTTGCAACCAGCTATCCATGACCAGTCCCTGTGTGCACAAACAGTGGCTGCAAACGCGCAGTACCAGAATGTCTGGTATTTGGCCACTGCCGCCAATGGACAATATTCAATAAGCAATCAACAATCGAGCATCATCAAACACATCAGTGCATAGGCCACAAAAGAAATGATTTGATTTGATGCTGAGCTCACGACATCAACAATTTGAACTAAAAATATAATGAAGTAAATATGATAAACTTGATAATTTGCAGTAAAAATATGATCAAGAACCCACCTCTGGGTCGGTGCTGAGCAGTCTCCAATACACAAAGGCCCTGTCCCTGATGTCCGGGTTGTCCACCTCTGACGTTGCAGCAGACAGAACGAGAGAGATCATTTTTTGTGCCGACTCAGTCGGCTTTTTCAAGAACAGCTTCACCGTCGCTGTCAGCAGCTGCAGTTGGACCTGCATATCCCATAAACATGCCTGCCTTAATTCTGGAGTTGCAAATTAATCAAACATTGCAAAAAAATCTTGACACAGAAATAGGACCATTTGGAGCATACCATTGTGGGCTGTAGAATGGGCATCGTCAGCAACAGATTGACCGCCTGTCTGGATGCATTGTTCTGGTTTACCTTTGGTGGAGATGAACTGGATGTGCAACGATTGTTTGTTGAGGGAGTTGCTTATCAGTGTTTGACATACCACAACCAGTACAAGCGTTGCAACCTCTCCACACCCTTGTACATCCTGTTTCCTGTTTGACACACTGAGAAGTCGATGATGCAATGCATCACTTTACTTCGCCTGCGTCGTTTCACGCAGAACGCAAGCAGTATCATTGCAGTTCAGAGCATTTGGGCCTCTCACACACTTTAAAGACACATTCTGACATCTGTGCAGCGCTGTACTAACAAATGACAGCACCTTTGCGTAGTGCTTCAGCTTTCATGGTTTGTGACGCCCTCGGCACAACGATCGCCATGACAAGGTCGAGTTCCTGCCTCTGGGTGACTCCAAACAGCACTGCATTTCACTGTCCAGACAAGCGACCGACTGCAACATCATGTGGTCATGATCATGATCAAGTCACTGGCTGGCTGATGGACAGATGAAGTGGCCTGTAGATGGACAGACTGACCCACAGCCTGACTGACCCACTGATGCACTTGCTGACCAAGTCACCAACAGTCAAACGGAGACACGGACTGACCCACTGACAGACCCACAAGTGCAACAGCTGACAGGGGAACTGACAGACAGATCCACTACCGTAATTTCTTACTCCCTTCCGTATAGTAACGTAATGCTTGGCTTTTGTTGCAGTGCAGCATTTAAAAAATAATGCTCTGGAAAGAAAAATGCGGAGCAAAAAGTGTAACGATGAAATTTCAAAATGCGGAAAATGTTGAACACAGGCTTAGGTTTTATGCCGTAAAAGCTGAACGTATTTACATTTTTATGCGTAAAAACAGTTCTCACGTGCTTACGCATAAAAACGCGTAAAAATACGTAAATACAACGTAAACACAGCCCCGTGTACATAAGGACCGTACATACAGAGTCCGGGGAGTCCGGGTAGTGGCAGTGAGACGCGCTGCAATGGGTAGAAAACGAACTTTTGCTCCATGTCGTCGTTGCCCTTGCCGAGGGCGAGTTGGGCACTGTGTTAGAGGTGCTGGAGATGGCGGAGGACAGGTCATTTCGCAACTTTGATCGTGTAATCTGGCTGTCCCAACGAGTCGTAGAAACGTTAAAATAGACGCAAAAATAGCCCCTTTCGCAAATTTACGTTTTTACTCGTAGAAACGTAAATATAAAAACGTAAATGTAAGCGCAGAAGAAACATGCAATCTCACTCTGAAATTCATTTAGTAACTGAGCGATTGGCCCTGCGACTGTCACCCACCATTCCGGACTCTTCTGGAAAGGTCTCCAGGAAAGTCTCCAGCAGCTCGTCTGCATTGTCAATGCGCTCCGCATATTCGCCGATGATCCACACCATCGAAGCCTTGGCCTCCGGCTCATCCAGACTATCCAAGTTCTCGCAGAGTGTGGCGATGATGGATTCGTACTTGTTTGGGTACCTCCTGAAGATGTCCTGCCAATCACCAGATTTTGGCATGGTCAGCACTGTGTGCGAATATGTGCCAATTTCTACTCGACACAAGCACTGAGGCATTGCAAGCAAGGAATCTCCAGCATTCAGGCAACATCAAGGAAGCATTGAGGAAGCAAGGGTAAAACTGGCAGCAGCGTAACAAAGAGCAACAGACACAGGGTGCCAACATGGTGGTTTCTGCTGCACGCAGTAAGTGCACAGGTGCTCTAGCTTCTTGAACATTTTCTTGGCTACGCTGTTGTTTGCATCGGTGAACACAGTGTTTGGTTGAACACAAAGGGGAATTGAAAAGGCACCATTCCTGGGGCAATGATTGTATGGTGAGGCTTTATTTTTGGCCAATTCTTTTGCTATCTGTTCTGTGTGCCTGGGAAAGAGCAGACCATGAGATGAACAGAATATGCATACCAAGGAGCATGAATGCTGATTGCTTACGTACCTTGATCACAATTATTGCCTCTTGGACCACATAGTTAACCTTGGTCTGGATGAGCTCCAGGAGCACATTGATGCAGCGCTCCGACGCCTCCTGCAAGCTGATCGCGCAGCGGCCGATCGCTCTCACAGCCTGGAGTACAAAATTGTCGACATTGTGCTGCTTTAGATAAGCATACAATACTACACGCCTGTACGATATAAAACACATGCTGCTTCAACATGTTCCAGACATGTTTGTGCTGCATGGTTGCATTCAGGTGATACACAGGAGCACAGACCTGGAGTGCAACACCCATTCAACTGCAGATTTGTGACAAGGACGCATGTCGCCCACTCAACAACAAGTGATGCAGGGCAATTTGTGGCTGCGCCATGATTCGATGCACAGAATCCGTCTTTCATCTGGGCCCCCAGCAGAGAAATACACAGCAGAGGCAGACACACAAATGCCAGACCAAACCACTAATGAATCACCATGCACAACTAGCAAGATGAAGACAAAAATAAACGAAAGCAAACGATAAACACAATAACAACAAACAATGCAAGAATACAAGGTCGCCATGCACCAGAAGGGTGTCTGTGTTCCCTCTTGTTTCCAGGCTATCAGTCAGCAACATTTGAAGCATCCAGTGCTGTCCCTGCTGCACCAAACAACAAGAGTGCAGAGGGCCACACAGACCTCCTGCACTGAAGGCAACACCCCAACAGGGCATTGACACACATGTGTGTAAAATAACAACTGAAGCATATGCAAATATACTGAAGTATATACAGTACATCTGAAGTATGTACTTCAGTACATCTGAAGCACATACAAAGCGCTTTTGTGTACACTGAAGTGTGAGCCAACATAGCGCCTGTAATACATGCCCTTCGCTTCCTTGTCCCCACCTTTCGTACAAAATCCACATCCACCTCCTGAGCATATTCCTTGAATTCAAGGAGAACCTGATCGATGTTGTCGGGTGTCGCCAGTTTGATCATGATCTCCAGCTTTTCCAGCTTGACATAGATGGGGTCATTGTACTTGCAGAAGAAGACCTGTCCATGTAAGGGGTGGTAATACAATTTGGTTCAAAATCACTGCCAGTGATTGCAAATGCCATGCAACATTTGGAACCAAAGAAAAACTATGGGTGGTGAATCTCATGCCAGTTATCAATGTCATCAAGAGTTGCAAGGCACTGGCGCGGCACCTTGGATCTAATGATGGGCTATGAGGTTGAAGTGACAGGTGAATCACAAATGTTGAATGTGCAATATTCTGGAACACAGAGTCATGGTTGGCAGCAATTTATGTACTGTACGGTGTTCCTCGCATGGAAGTGCAGAAGCAGTTCACATGTGACCACACGCTTCTGGCCATCAGCTACCAGCCCCCCCACCCGCCCACCCACCCCCACTCCACCCACCCCACACATAGATTCCTGCATGTGCTGGAATACTTTGGAATAAAAGTACACTCAGCAAAATGAGAATAAAAGAAGACCCCAAGCTCCCATGTGCTGGCCGGTGTTCCACGTGAAACCAGCAAGCTGTGTCTGCTACTGCACGCAGCTTCAACAGCACACCAGCATCAAAGTTGCATTATCTACTCTTGTGCCGGCTTGGTGCACCGTCAGTGAATTACCCAAAATGAACTACTTCACTGACAAGTTTATTAGGTCAAACAGCATAAAGAATGTTTAGCCGACATAAATCTATTGGTCAGTGAGTGGGGTGTGTCATCACAGCATGTCAGCTCATTACTGCACTGGTGTTGTTTAGTTTGCAGGGGTTCTGGGACTAACAAAGCTGAATGTCCGGACATGCCCAGGCACAACTTGTTCGCTTGATGCAATGCTGAGCCAACCATGCCCTGCACAACTTCCTATGACCGTGCTCCATGCGGAGAGTAACTGCCATCAGTTCATAACTGGTTCAAGAAACTGTAGTGCATCACCAAGTGGTGTGCCCAACTTTCTTGTGGTGCAGTAAAAGGTGGCACATTCGAACCATGCGGTACATATCAGCTGTGTGCCAGTGCAGCATGTTTCAGTGTGTTGATGGGCAGTGAAGGCAGACAGAAGTATCAGCCAGTGCTTATGTGACAAGCACCTTTGGCACCTCCAGTTTTGCCGATTCGCCAATTTTTGGCATTGCGTATCCCGGTTCGGGGTGCAGCAATCTCGGTTGGCCTAAATGCAGCGCTAAAGTTCGAGTCGCCTCACCTTCACGTCATTTGTTAGTACTTCAGGCCTCTTCTGCACGATCAGGCTGATGTTCCTGAGGGCAACATACTGAACTTCGGGCTCCGTGCTCAGCAAGGTGACAAGAGGTGGGGCCATCTTCTTGTGCCACAACCGCAGCAGGTTCTCATCCGAAACAGATGCCATCTGCTTCAGGACAACCTGCAACATCCGAGCTTGGTCAGGTAGTTCCTGAGCTACATTTGCCACCAAGCGCTACACTACCAAGAAGAACTCATGCTGTTTGATGATCTGAACTCCACCGGAACACATGACCAGAGTGTTGTTTATGCATAATTGGACAGGACACATTCATTCGTACCATTGTCCTTGGGCTGGGAGTTGGTTGTGGCTGTTGTCGATTATATCACATGGAGGCCAAAGACCAAACGCAGCCAGCACAGCCAAAGCTGTGGTCACACAAGAACCATGTGGTGCTGCCTGAAATAACTTCTCAGCTGAGATCACAGTGCAGTGCCATGCAAGCCATGTCCATTTCCCACATGCGTACATGGTCCAGATGCCTGTTTGGAATTCCACGGATTACATTTTATCCAATCGGATAGGAGGGAATTGCCAAAAAGGCAGTTATGGGCATACAAACAGCAGAGAAGTTGCCAGATCTGCAAGATCGTGCCGAAACCTCACAATGCATCGCCTACAACACAATGCCACCCCCTGTGCTGCAAGCTTCTGGTAAATTGCTGTGGAACTGAAATGTGGCACAGTAGTGCAAGTCTGTGAAGAAAGTAAACTGTGTAACAACACTGCACATCTGTGTTTCCTGTGTTGCCCCAGTTCCCACTATCAGGTCAGCAAATAAGCACGTTGCAAACATGAAAGTCGTCCATTCAGTCAGCGTGTGGCTTACTCAAATTCTGTCTTTCATGCATTTATTTGGTGATGCGGTCTCCTTGCTGGGAGCTGAAAGCTAATCAGCTAGCAAAGTAGTTCTTGTAACTTTCATGTACACCCAAACCAGACCTCATTACGAATCGAACTGCTACCAGCCTTTAGCAAAGAGCTTACAACAAGAAAATGAGTCCTCATCAACATGAAAGATAAAACATTATAAGCTGGATGGGCAGGTACATTCTCTGCATCTTCATGCTGTGCCGGATAAGCACCCACCTTGATTGCAGACAGGACCACGGCACCATTCGCGTGCTGCAGCCTGGGCAGCACTCGCTGGATGATGTTCTCAGCCTGCTGGGCATCCTTGGCTGTGTATGTTGCCATGGAGTCCAATATGAACACCTGAAGGCAATGGCACACGCGAATTGTCAAAAGTAGGTAACGGGAGCATCTACTGTCATTCAGCTCAGCAGTACTGGCCTGGTGATGGGGATGCAAGATTGTGGACATGTCAGAGGTCTACAGCAGGGGATAGTGACGTAGCACTCTTTGGTTTTGATATTCCTTGTATTTTGACCTGGAGCTTGAGTTCTGGTGGAACAAACCAATGCGATTTGCAACGAATTCTGATCTGCCAGGGCTCCCCTTGAGTGCCAAACTATTTTCTTCACAGCTCAGCATTGATATACTACACTACTGATGCACTATGCAGTAGATGAGAACACCTCTTAGGGCTTCAAACCACCTTGCACTGTCTTGCTAGGTTCCGTAAAGCCCACATCTCGATTGTTAGTAGGGGGTGACACTTGGACACTTGATGTGACATAATATTCTAAGCAAAGGCAGCAACAAGCTCATTCTTTCTATGCTGACATGTTCTACAGCACAATTAAGAGTCCAGGTGCCACCCCAATATGCTAGAATGGGTGTGGCCCTTGTGCTGTCCCACAGGAAAGTTCAGGGTGATGTCAATAAGTACTTCCTCTGCCAATAAGTACTTCCTCTGTCAATAAGAACTTCCTATACCAAATTAATTGTCAAAAAATCGTTACAAGGACAGCCTGAAAATTACAAAACAAGGTTAACATCGAAAAGATTGGGTCACAAATCCTTTACCCACCAACTTTCAAAAAGAAAAAGCGAGACATGACACCTTTCAGCATTAGCCGAAAGGTAAATTTGGTCGTTTCAAAGCTCGAATATCTTGGTTTACTAGGTAACACCTTTGATACAAAATATTGACAAATCCTCAATATCTAACGTACTGATTTGAAATTTTGGATGGACTTAAAATTTTGACAGCATATTCCAAACTCACAATCACAACTTTGTGTCAAACTTCGTTGAAAACTGATGTCGGTATGATGGAGAAATAATGCCATAAAGTCACAGACGACAAATAATCTGGGATGAAGGAAGCAAGTGATATGCAGATACAACACAATTGCATCTCTGCTACTAGCATCAATCATGTAGCAATGTCTGGCCACATGGGCAACAAGAGAATAAGATGAACTGATGTGGGACACACAAGCATTCATGGATGTATACATGCCCAACATCCCCTGCAATGTGCAAGGGCACAGCTTTGTCTTGTCAAAGAGCAATAGCTCCTAGCATCAGACTGGATGACAATTGTCCAACATAGGCCCCACCTGGCCCCACTCTGTGCACTCATTCAATGCTGCAAGGAGCTTGAATACAGTGCCATCTGTGACCTTGAGCACCTCCTTTCCACTCAACTCCTGGATCTCTGCGAGAGAGGCAACAGCATTGGCGACCACCATGGGATTAGAGTCTTGCAGCATGTCCTGCAGAACAGGCACAGATCTGCAGTGACTGAACTTGTCAACTGTGCTAGGATCACTGCTCTACTCAAGGGCGATGCCTTGTGCTGTGAAACAGGCTGGCCATAGTTCAATATTTGTGCTGCATATTACCATCCAGATGCTTGGAATACAATTGCTGTGTGCAATCGATGCATACAGCCTTTGCAGCAAATAGGCAGCAAGTCAATGAACCTTATTCTGCGTAGCTGGTGCATTATTGCAGATCCGGAACAAAGGTTCATAAGCACTGAATATTACCCCAGAAATTTCCCCATGCAGAGCAATCTGTATCAAATTGCCATACAATTTCCACAGCATGGCTACACCTGGAGCACGCCATGAACCTGCAAAAAGATGTTTATCCACAGCAAGTGGCATCAACATCAGAGAACTGGTCCACGGACAAGGAGCATCAACAATCCTGATGCTCAGTGATTTGCATGTTTCTGTGCCTGTGCCTCAAGCATGCTCGGGATAGCCACAAACTATATTTCATCCCCATTCAGGACTGTGTGCGAGTTCCACGCCTCCACCAGGCTCAGAATCAGCAAACAGTGCCCTACCCTCAGCTGATCAAGGAAGCCCCTGTCCTCCACAAGCTCGGGGTTGATGTCATGAAGCTTTGCAACAGCAATGGCGGCAGTCTTGCGAACGTAGGGATCATCATCCTGCACCAGGCAGCTGCCAGTCGTGAACTTCCCACATGGATTGATTGCCTTATCAACCAAGGCACTGAGCACCCGTTTGCATCCTAGGCTCGGAAACTGACACTGGACGAATGCAGGCAGGCAGCCGAAGAAATTAATATTTCAATATTATTATTATTATTAGTAGTAGTAGTATTTTATTTTTTGTGGCTTTCCACAATGTCAAAAGCGACACACTGGTCATCGCGTGTGTCTCTGCTGAGTTGAGGCAGTATTGAGAGCCTGGACAAGGAAGGCATACTGCACCAAACTGCCCAATGGCAGAAGGCAAAGGGGATGGAATGAATTGCTTGAGCAAGGCAAACTCATTAGCACAGCAATTGAGCACACACCCTTGTGTGTCCATTCGGGTTGACAGAGTTGAGGTGTTGGCATGTCTAAACACTGCACAATACATATAACCTATATCTCTACAAACAAGCATAACACTAACAGTGATGGTGCTTTCCATCAGGACAGTGGATGCAAGTGCATACCTTGCACACTGACAAGCCAAATATGTGACACAATAGTATGACTTTACTTTGCACTGCTGTGTGCGGTAAATAGGGTTGAGCAGCTTCAGCAGCAGCCCCACCTAGCCATCAAAATATTTACAAACAAAATACGGTAGACATGACAAAGATAAAAACACAAAAGAGACAAGCACACGTCAAGATAGAGATCAATCGTGCTGAAGTTAACCACAAGGTCCAGCTATGGCTTTGGCCTAGCTCCAGTCACCCAGAAGTTGAAGACAAAGTGGGCTGATGGCAGTCAATGCACAGATACAGCTTGGGCAACTGCGCACGCTTGTCTACCAGTACATTGTTGCATACCTTGAGGCATCTTTGTAGCGGATCGCAGAGGTACTCTGTGATCTTGTCCACGCGAATGCATCCCATCGTCCTGACTGCCAGAGCCCTGATGAGGGGATTGGTGTCTTGCGAATCCTGCCATGGGGAGGTACAGGGTAAATGCACTATGAGATCAGTACACATTCCTCTAATTTAGGGTTTAGCAGACAGTGCAACCATCTGCACCCCAAGTACAACAACAGGAGCAGAGCACCTGAACAAGAAATTCGACCTGGATGTGCATGTCAGAACGGCCACTCATGCATCACTTTTCCTTCTCTTGCAGTGCATTATGCTGCAGCAGTGCAGATCCATGGCAGCACAGCTCTCGTTTGGATTGTGGTCTTTGAAGATCACACTCGGCAATGTATGGGTGCATACAAGTGGACTCAGCAGATGCACACTGTGAATGGTGACAGTGCTCTGCATCTTTTGTTTAACGCACTTCTATTCCATTCAATTTAGTCATTTCAAGTTGTTCGATTACATCCCCCAGAGACAGCAACAATCCTCTTGCACCTAAAAGGCAATAATGGGTATCATGCCCTGTGCACTGTTTGTTCGATGCCGTTTGCTGATTGCTGCACTTTGACCAGGCATTTCTTGTTGCAATGACTCATCTGGCTAACTACAGAGAATGCAGCAAGCACAAAGAAATTGCAGCATTCCTTGCATGGGTGGCAAAAACCTGGGGAGCAAGAACACAAGCTCTGGGGTGGGAAAAAAGGAGGGTTGGGGGCACGGGGGGGAGGCGCCTTTGTGGTGGGTTGAGGGCTTTGTGGTGGGTGGTGGTCACTAGGGTGTCACCTGTGGTGACAAACACTGTTCTGAGCTGCACACATGATTTTTCTGTCATAGTACTGCAGGCTTCGAACCATGTTGTTGAAGTGCCATGTAAGGACACTTGATCGATTGACACCCCAGAGGGATTTACATTTGCGCCGGTGCCTGGTGCTGGACGCAATAGTTTGCCATGCACTGAAAAGCACAATAAACAACAGTTTTAGATCCCAACATTAGCACATAATTAACATAATTGAGGGCATCCAATCAGCACTGCAATTTTTTGGTTGCAATAGCAGTCTTTGCGCTGCAAGTCATGAGCTCTCCAGTAGCTAGTGTGCCCAAAACCTAAGACAAAACTAAGGATGTGGCTACAGCATAACCATTGGGCAAGCACCATAACTAATAGAAATCAGGCACAATAGCAGTATCCGGTCATCAATTTTTGACAAGTGCAACATCTGCGATCTGCTGATGCAGGATGACAATGTGAGAGGATCTATGCAAGCCAGGTGCGACAGTGGGGAAAAGCCAACAACCTTTCCATGCTGCCGGCAAACTGCACTTCACAGAAATGAGTAATACATCCGTGCACATGGTGATGAATGCAATGATCATGTCACCAATCAGTCTGCTGTCCCTGTCCAGGGACCTGTGTTTTTGTGTGCTCCACTAGCAAGGCGGCATTCTCTTCTCTCAAGCATGCGGCCCTTGCCAGCCATGAGAAAACCCTATGCTATCTGCTGCCAAATGGGGATACATGCCATGACCAGTGTTTCGGTCTTCATTATCCTGTAATAGATGGCGGCTTTCATTCACCAGTTGATGCAGCACAACAACATTCAGGCAGTGACTGATTCTAACAGCCTGCAGCAGCCCCACCTTCACAAAAGTGTTCACAGCCATGATAGCCAAGTCCGGCTGTGTCTTTGAGTAGTTGATCAGGTAGAGGTACACCAATTTCTTCAACTCCAGGTCCTCTGTCTGCATGTTGTTCACAACGTCTGGGAACAGCATGGACACATCTTTGCCCACGGTCATGGCGGCGATCACCTTCTTGACAGCTTCTTTCTTTTTGAGCTTCTCCAGACTGCGGAGCTCCTCCCGAAACTCCTTGATTTCACCTGCGTGTGTGGTCCGGTTGTTGCACGTTGTGGCAAACAGATAAAATGAACAGATGCAGGAGCTATAAAGTTCTTGGATGTACAAGGCCGGACATCCCTGCGCGCTGCACACACAAGGTCCTCTGATTACCCTAGCCTGGCTCTTGGATATGCACAACACCATCGCCTACAAGGTGCAAGGGCACCGTTTTGTCCAGCCGAAGGCAGCTGTAAAGGATACCAGCATGTTGTGGTGTTATTTCAAGGAACGAAAACAAGCTGCCTATGGCGGATCCCCCCTCGAAGAAGTGGGCCCTTATCCTCTTGGCACCGATCCATCCATCAATCAATGCATCATAAAGAAAGGGAGTTGTGAAGCCAACAGCCAGCTGCCTATCACCCACCAAAAGAAGCCCACAACGAAGAAGCAACAAGAGTGTCCTGGAGAGATGGCCCTTTCCCACATCACAGTGCCAGTGGAGAAGCCAGTGGCCAACACTGACACACGAACTTGGACAGGTTGCCAGCCCCAAGCGTCAAGTGCATCAGCCTCCTTGGGTGATGTGGCTCTTCTCGGCTGTAGTGTGGTCCACCCGCTGCGGTGAACGGACATGGCCGCTACAGCAGCGCGAAAAAAGCAAACTGGTCCTGGCGCCCGCCTCTGTGGAGTTCAGATCCCCGGACAGCAACAGTTCTTCTGCCAGCCCGCAAGGGCCTCAAAATTCTCGGCAAAAAGACGCACACATGGCACGGGAATCGCCCAAGCCGTGTGGCTGCAAGCACTGCCGAGGACCGCTTGCCCCTGACAGTGCCCACTGCCACGCGTCAAGAGTGGGTGGTCGTTGAATCTCGCGAAGGATTCCTATTCCCCGCCACCCAACCACCCAACCGGGGTAAGGCCGCAGCAGCCACAGGCCCAGATCTGCTCCATTCGTCCAAGCCGGCGCCCCGGCGAGTCCGAAACCAATCTTGCTCACGATCGCGCCCTCCCCCAACAATCGCCCCTCCCTGTGCTCCGCGCTAAACTTGACGCACACGGATGCATGAATCTGCAAGAACCGGCAGACGCCATTCTCCAACTATGGCTGAATCGCAGTGCTGGAAAGCTGCGCACCCCTCTTGGTGGTCGTGAAGTACTTGCTGTCCGACATCGCGCTACCGCCCAAGTGCCAAGCGCCAAGTGCCAAGTGCCAAGTGGCACCAACGCCGGTGGGTGGGGCCAATCAAACGGGATGGAATTGATCCCGGGCGCAGCGCCGGCCGAGATCTGCTGGCCTGGCCGCGGCCTGGCTGTGCCGGCGGCGAGGGACAAAGGCGGGGGGCAGGCGCGACGAAGGGGGGCGCGAGCCGAGGGAGCGAGCGGGGGCGCAGCGTGTCCGACGGGCGTGCCTTGCCGCGAGGCGCGGGGTGATGGGGGTGCCCTCTACTGGGTTTTTAGGTGCTAGAATGGCTCTAGTACCTAGATCCGGAAAACCAACAGTATCTCAAACAAGACCTGCTCAAAACGTGCTACGACCTACAAGACCTGCGAACCTGCAAGAGCCTTCAAAACCTTACAAAGCCTTCAAGAACATACAAAGCCTTCAAAAACCTATCCAGACCTACCAAAATCTAAAAACTTACAACACTTATAAACCTATAAAGCTTGTAAAAACAAAACCTGTAAAACATGTGAAACTTGAAGGGTGTTTTTATGTCCTCCCAATGCTCTTGGGGGCAATTTTTTTATAAACCATGCCTTAGGCACAATGACAAGGACATTCTCCTTGAAAATTAGGAATTGATGGATGATGAATTTCATTTGTGCATTGCCTTGTATTCCAATTGTCAAGGACGGCGGTCCATTCTGGCCGTTGTTTCCAGAGATACCGCAGTCTAATCAACCCTGAACGAGCAGCTGAGCTACATTGACAACTTTAGCACCACGTCAGTTGAAGGTGCACTCAACAAACAAGCTTTGCCCCTTGCTCGAACCGGCTCTTCACGAAGAATTGCTTGCCACGACAATGTCAACGACTCAAATTAGCAGTGACGGCAAGGGAAGCTTCAAACGAGCGGCCAACATCCAATTGAGTGTCAAGCGTGCAAGCACACTTTTAGAATCTCTCACAACTACCCCCCAGAATGCCACGATCGGCCGTAGCCACTCCCCAAAGGTCAGTGACTCATTGACAGTGAGGCCAGGGCATAGGTCAGCCCCATGGGTCGGGGCAGCCTTGTCTACAACGTAGCGATACAATACACAAAAGATGCCTCTTTTTGCCTCAACGAAGCTGTGCAAGGATGAAGGTTGGTTACTTTTGGCTAGCAGCAAGACCACGCTGGCAGTGTTGGTCTTGAACAGCAAGGAAAACGGCTCAAAAAAGGCACAAACCAGCCGCAACCTTCTAAAAGGTCGTGCACTATTATGCTCAGGCCGTGACGAACGTTGCGCACATGGCCAGGGGAGTCAAGCAGCCAGGCTGAATGCCCAGACCACTGCGAGAGTTACACGCCAACGCCGCGCAACCGTTCTTACAACTGCCAAGCCGAGTGCAACAATACAAAGATCCTTCCAGCATTCACCATACCCCTAGTACTTGTAGCCCCCCAAGCTCTAGCAAATACCCCCAATTCCTAAGAGATGCTCTTTTGATAACCGGAATCTCTCTGCCACACCCGTTGTGTCACCGCAACTCAACCTGGTATATGCCCCACTACCCACAATCAGCCACCACACAATGCCCCAAGGGCCACATTCCCATCAAACAACCACACTTCCCGCGGTCAGCAACCACGTAATGCCCCAAGGGGCATTTCCCCATCAAACAACCATGTGGCACCTCCATGTGCCCCTCCTGGCTCCATCTCGCCATGGTCTATGGTAGACTGCCAGACGGGCAGCCCCTAAGCAAATGCACACATCCAATGGCAAAACTAGGTGCTCCTCAGTATTCCAAGGCATTTTCTGGGCGTGTCTAACTCATGTGTCTCCGTGTGATGTGCTGCCACGTATTCGCGTTGTGCTCAACATCTTTACAATATCTTAGTAGACTCTTTGGGCGTATGATGAAGTTGCCATGGTCTATCTTTGTCATCGAGGTCATCTCCCTGTGTTCTGAGTGCCTTGAGCTCACAATACTAAAAATTTATGTAGCATGCCTGACTGATGACTTAGGGGTCTCCCACCTTATTGAGCACCAACCTGCTTGATGATGATCAGCATGGCGAAGGTTCTGAGGCTACCGACATCCTCTTGGCATCATATCTAGACCTCACGCGTCGCCAGCTGAGTGATATCATTAATTTACTAGCTTTTGGGTGAGCCCCATTAATTGGCGACCCGAACACAATGTACAATGCAGCTCTAGGGCAAGACTCATCCGGAAATCTGGTAGGCATTGATGCAGTTTTGATGGGGGTATGATGGAAGAGGGACATTGAAACAATGATCATCAACATTGTTGAACTGCATTTGAGAATTATGGCTTTGTGGCGCCGGTGTTTATCAGCCCTCCAACAAGGCATAATGATGCAACATTCTCAAACAAGTTGCGTTGTTGCAATGCTACATCAACGATCCCATCTGTCAGCCCTGAGATACATCCAGAAGTTTTGTAGGCTTTGTTGCAACATTGATGGGCCCTTGGATGAATACTACCCTCCAGAGCTCATGTTTGCAGAGCGCCATTGATGCAAGGGCATATCAAATCTTGCATCAAAGTCCACCAAATTTCCATGTGTCGGGATTTGATGGTTGCCTTCTTGCCTTGATCTGCAACTGTTCCTCAACAAATGAATGACAACAGAGAAATCTGCCACTGTTAACAACTATTATGTGCTTTTGAATTGCTCTTGATTCTTAATTGATTCTTTATACGGCGGACAGGCCATGCAATCCTTCCTTCCCTAGGGCAGACGTCTTCTTGAGTGCCCGTCCTTGTCTTCCCTGTACCGTTCAGGACGATTCCAGGTATCGGCACTTTTCAGGAACCGACAAGTGCAACGCCCAGTGCATTGGGAGAAAATGCCTGCGCGTGGGCAAAACCAATCCTACAGCTCCCCAGGCGGTGCTGCCAGCAGGTTTCTCAATTCCCGAGCGCCTGAAGCGCGCACAAGAAAGAAAGGAAAAAAGAAAGAAAGATAGAAAAAGATAAAAACGACATAAAAGTATAAGAAAGGAAAACAGACGCCCGCATGCTCTTTCGCCATATATACAACAGCCACAGAGATGCGCCACACTCCAGTGCATCATCTGCACAATTGTAAAGCCTCCCCAGCTAACAAACCTAACAATGCGTGATTGTGTGCGCGCACTCACATTCTCTATGTGCCAGCACATGGACTGGAAACCACAAACGCTATCATGATCCACCACCAGGCACCAAAAGCCTGTATGGTCGCCCATGTGGCTGCGAGCACAAATATGCGCATCTTTGGTGAGTGAGCTACGGTGGTGAGAAGGCCACTGCAAGTGCTGCATTGCAAAAACAACAATTTGGCGCATGCCTTGTCAAAACAACTTCCCGATGTTCGACCCCTTGCCCTGCTGAAGTAGGCAGAGAGAATGGCAGGTGAAACTGCAACAGGCCAAGGCCCGCTCCCAGGGGCAGGACCGTACCGCAATGTTGAACGCAGTAGGGGCGATCAGATAGTTAATTGGTATGCAGCGTGCTTCTCGAGCGACCAGTGCTGATTCATGGCACTTGTTGAAGCCCCCAGAAATAGAGGTGAAGATAGGACATTAAATCTAAAGCACACTAAAACATCAAAACACATTAAAACTACAGCAAAGCCCATTCATAAGTGCCATAGTACACTTTGCGCTTGTGGCTTTGGCTGCAAATTGACACCACTCACAACAGACAATGCAATATCCCCAATTGGCAGTTCAGTCCAAACACATGGATAGTGGCAACGGCCCCGGCCCAACATTCAGAAAGGAATGAAGGTCAAGGTTTTCCCACCAAGTCGGTGTACCTCTTCTCCCTCCAGGCAAAACTGATGCCATCACATCCCAAACAATACCAGAGCCATTCAGATTCACACCCAGGAGGGGTGAAAGCGTGTGTGAACAATGAAGGATCAGAGAGCCGTGGTAGCAACCACGGAATGAAAAGTGTCCATTTTGGAACATCAAGAGGTCGCCCACAAAACAAGGCCGATTGCAATGGGTACTGTTATTTCGAGAGCCCAGGACGTGTACTTGGATTACACATGAGCATCTCTCCAACTCATCCCAGCTTGGTGCAGATTGCTCACAAGTGTGAATGAAAACACAATCGACGGAATCCACTTTGGTGTGCAGAGGGCCACGAGAAGGACACACTCACAAAACACAGAAGGCCATCTCAGGGGACACGTGCACGCCCTGGAACATTCAATTTTCACTGCCGGCATTGACGAGAAATGCCAAATCGTGTGTCAGCAGTATGCCCAACAAGGCCAACTGTCAGCAATTCATGCCCACCCTTTGCTCACACCAGCAGGGAAGTGTGCAAAGATGTGCAACAGTGCACAACAGGGCAAGGTGACCCAAACCAGAGCTGCAGGTGAGGCTCCTGTGCCGTCTGCAAAACAGCAACCCGACCACGTAAAAACATACCTGACGACATGTCTGGGTACGCTACACAACATTTTCTCAGCATGTCCTGATATCACGACTCTTCAACCATCAAGACAGTCTCGCGTGTCGACCCAGCAGCCCTACCTCACTGGTTGCCACATGGTCGAGGGCACTGCAAGGGAACATAATGCATGCAGGGCGATGAGAAAAGTGTGTGCACTAATGTTGCAGCACACACCAAAGCTGCAAGAGCACGGGCATGCAGGATAAGACACCGAAACAACTGGTTGACCAGCCCATGATGGACAATTCATTTACCACCTGAAGCAAAGGCACTGCCACGGCACAACATGCCATGGCACATCGAAGTGTCGGAATGTACATAGAGAGGCAGGCATGGCAAAAACAATGGTTAGAATCTCCACCATTTTCATTTCTATTCCCTTTCACATTTTGTAAAGCCCACATACTGCATGCCCTGATGTGCAGCATGCACGTGTTCAAAGTTGTTCTCCCAGTTCAAAGTGTTCTCCCAGGTTATTTGCCGTTTCTTCATGGCTGACTTCTCTTCACTTTGGCAGGCATCTGCAGGTGCCCATGAATCCA